GCTTTGCCAACTTATTGCACCTCCCACGAGGGTGAAGATATAGCCCGAAGTGCTTTGGCGGGTTGAAGGATTTCCCGCCCAATCCGCATCGGTGTAGCCTTGTAGCACCACGGGTCCCTTCTCGTAGTGCAACCCCATTCGAGTGGTGCCCTTGATGTAGCGAAGAAGGCGATGTGATGCTCGCACATGCTCGACCATGGGGTTGGAGACGACGCGTCCAAGCACTCCAACGGGAAAGGAGAGGTCGGGCCGAGTGCTCACCGTGGCATACATGCACGACCCAACGACCGAGTGAAAGGCCTTGGCGCTCTTAGGATCCATGGGGTTCTCATCGCTCACGGTCAAGGGATGAAACCCCGATTCCATAGGTGTCGGTGTAAGTTTGCTCACGATCATGCCGAAACGATCCACAACACTCTCCAAGTACTTGTGTTGGTGGAAGGCGAGGGTCTTGTTCTCTCGATCACGATCGATGTGCATCCCTAGGTAGTGGGAGATGGCGTCGAGGTCACGCATGGAGAATTCGGCGGCAAGCTTCGTCTTCATGTCCGCTACAAGGGTCTTGGAATCCGACACGAGGAGAAGGTCATCGACGTAGAGGAGAAGAACGAGGTTCTTCTCATCCTTGTTGAGCACGTAGAGCGCGTGGTCACACTCGCTCCGCACGAACGCCAATGAAAGCAAATGTTCGTCGATCCTCGTGTACCACGCACGAGGGCTTTGCTTGAGGCCGTAGATCGTACGCTTGAGCTTGCACACGCGGTCGGAGTCATCGTCGAATCCGGGAGGTTGCTTCATGTACACCTCCTCGTTTAGACGACCATAGAGAAACGCCGTCTTCACATCGAGTTGTTCCACCTTCAAGTCGAGTGCTCCTGCCAACGCCAAGAGGGTGCGCAACGTGGCGGACTTGGCGACGGGAGCGAACGTCTCGTTGTAGTGAACACCCTCCTTTTGAGTGTACCCTTGAGCCACCAACCGCGCCTTGTACCACTCCACTTCTCCATTGGGGCCGAGCTTCTTCTTGAAGACCCAACGAGAGCCAACGAGGTAGGCGCCGGGAGGCATGGGGACAAGCTCGTAGACGTCGTTCGCCATGAGCGAATCGTACTCCTCTTGAAGCGCACTTTTCCATTCCGCCGCTTCCGCCGAGCTCATGGCGCCTTGGTAGGTGGACGGGGTATCGGTGTATGCCTCAAGACACATAGCATCTCCCCCTCCCTCATCGTCCCCCGCCACAAGAGAATATCCATCATACTTGGAGTTGGGATGAGGGTTCCTCCGAGTGCGAGTGGATGCGAGGGTGGGAGTGATAGTAGGAGGAGGAGACGAAGGGTCACTTTCTTTGGCATTTCCTTCATCCCCACTCACTCCAACCGCACTCGATCCATTCTCCCCCTCATTCGTACTAGGAGGAGAACCCGTAGGAGCTTCATCCGCCTCATCCGCAACATCCAAGGGAGGAGGGACGATGTTCATGGACTTGGACGGGAAGGTGTCTTCATAGAACACCACGTCGCGTGACACCACGAGCTTTCCGTGCTCTAAGTCCCACACACGCCATGCCTTGTGATCCGCGCTTGGTCCCAAGTACATCGCCACCCGCGCCTTAGCCTTAAGCTTGGTCCCTGTGACGTCGGGTACATGATAGTAGCACGTACACCCAAACGTGCGAAGGTCGGTGTCGTCCGGCTTCGTACCGCTCCAAGCCTCAAGAGGCATCTTGTTGGGCAACGCCTTGGTCACGCACCGGTTGCGAATCCAAGTTGCCAACGTAACCGCCTCACCCCACCAATGCTTCTCCGCGTGAGCATGGGAGAGGAGACTCCGTGCCGACTCCATGAGCGTACGATTCAAGCATTCGGCGGCTCCATTTTGTTGAGGCGTATACGGCGTCGAGAACTCATGCGCGGTCCCACGCCCTTTCAACCAATTACCCAGCTCCCGAGCGGTATATTCGCCACCTCCATCCGAGCGAAAGCGCTTGACCTTGAAGCCGCTTTTCTTCTCCACATCCGCCACCCATTACTTGATGGCGGTTGACGTGACGTCCTTGTGCTTGAGAAGTCGAATCCAACACATCCGCGTCGCGTCGTCGATGAGCGTGAGGACGTAGTGCGCGCCGCCCTTCGATGCGGGAGTGATGGGTCCGCACAAGTCCGTGTGAACAAGCTTGAGAGGTTCGGAGACATTCGGCTTCGTACTTGGTGGAAAAGGCTTCCGTGACATTTTCCCTTCAAGGCAACCGACACACTTCTCGTCGTCTCCACTCGAGCGCACAAAATCCAAGCCGTCGACAATCCCCTTCGTTGCCATAGCTTGAATAGCGGCGAGGTGGAGGTGGCCAAGCCGATTATGCCACGTTGAGAGAGAGGTTGTCGAGGTAGCCGCTTGAGCCGATGCCACGCTAGGGAGAGCGTCGAGCATGAAGAGTCCACCCGCTTGGCGTGCCGCGCCTATGTGTACTCCGTCCGCCGTGCTCAACGCCATCATGGTCCCTTCAATATTCACACGCATCCCCTTGCGTGTGAATTGGGAAACGGAGAGGAGGTTGGCGCCGAGCCCGGGAACCACCAAGACGTTCTTGATGGTGAGTGGACCGCCGTCCACCATGAGCCGCAAGTCGCATTGTCCCGTGACGTCCAACGTGTCACGGTTGCTGAACATCACGCGCTTAACGGAAGCTACCGTTGTCACGTTGTTGGGAAGCGTCGCGCACGCCGTCATGTGTTGAGTAGCACCCGTGTCGAGTACCCACGCATCAACACCACCGACGGTCGTTCCACTTGCGACGAAGATGAACTCCCGGTCGTTGTTGTCGCATGTCGCCACATGCGCGCGCCGGTTGTCGTCACTTGAAGACGGCCTCCAATTTGCCGGTTTAACGGGACAATCGCGCCACCAATGTCCCGTTTTCTTGCAAAAACGACAAGCACCCTCTCGCGCCCGAGCTCGATTGGCGTTGGCCGATCCTCCTCGTGATGAGCTTGAGGTTGCCGCTCTCCCGTTCGAACTCCCGCGGTTGTTGCCGTCGTTGCGCCGCTTGAAGTGACCCGTCCCTTTCGCCTTCGCATCGCGGGAGAAGTGTGCCGCACCGATTGCATCGTCATGCAATTTCGTGCGCCTCGCCTCCTCGTTGACGAGGCGTGCCACCACTTGCTCCTTCTTCAACGTATCTTGCGTCCCATCCAACATCGTGATCACTGTTGACCATGCTTCACCGAGGCCCGCGAGGAGCGTCATGATCCAATCGTTGTCTTCCACGCTCGCGTCGAGTTCCACCAAGCGAATCTCTGTAATCGCCTGAGAATTGAAAGAGATATTTCTTATAATGCAAGGATGGGTACAAGTGACGAGTTGAAGTTAACTCTCTGGAATTTGCTCTCTGGTTTTATAGCTAAAACATGCAAGCACAATTGTAACATCGAACCGCGCGCGACTCGCCGGAAATTCGGATTCAGGATCACGTCCAATTTCCACGACGTCCGCGTTCACAATTTCGGACTTTGTCGGGTTCGTTTCTTCACGCCGACAATCGTGTGTTACAAGGAACAATAACGAGTGTAGCGAAATGTTCGTAACATTCGCTTGCACTCTTGTTATTTTCGTGCATGCTTGTGGGGCTGCCAAGTGTCGCCCCCACAAATATTCGGACCCAACCGGGGGAAGTTCGGTTGCGTGGCGACGCGGACAATCCGCCGTCACCCCAACCTTCCAAGAACGAACCCTCCCTTGGTCCGAGTCAAGGGAGGTCTTTCGCGTGGGGGGCAATCCCGTCCCCCACACTTCCAACAAGAATGAGTCTGAGCGAACAGTCAAAGTCCGCAGCGACACAATGAGAATCATTCCTGGCCTTTCCAGCAACACGAGGTCCCCAGCAGCACCGGGCTTGGCCTGACCTCCCCAGCAGTACCGGGCTTGGCCTGACCTCCTCGGCAGCACCGGGCTTGGCTTCCTCCCCAGCAGCACCAGACTTGGATTCCTCCTGGGGGAGGCACAACTGGCGCAGGCTGTACTTGGCAAGGGGCTAAAAATCGGCGAGAATGGAGATGAAGCAGATGGTCTGGGGGAGAGGGAGGAGGGAGAGAAGGGGGTGGAGGTGAGGGTGGGGGGAAGAGTAATATACTGGTAAGGTAAACATTGTGTACCTGGGACAGATGGTCTGGGGGAGAGGGACGGATGGAGCGAGTTGGGGGAGGAATGGGAGGGGGGAAAGAGTAAGATGGGGTAAACGATGTGTTCTTTGCAAGGGCCTTGAAGTCGGCGAGAATGGAGATGAAACAGACGGTTTGGGTGGGAGGGGGGAGAAGAGTCGTATGGGGTAAATGATGTGTACTTGGCAAGGGCCTTAAAGTCTGTGAGGATGGATATGAAACAGATGGTCGGAGCAAGGAAGAGCAAGGGAGAGAAAACATGAGAAGGATAGAAGGGACCAGAGGAGGGTGCGTGAGAATGGAGTTTGGGAGACTGGGAGAGGTAAATGGAGTCACATGAAAAGAGTGGCTTCGCCCGGACTTGAACCGGAGACCTTCAGTGTGTTAGACTGACGTGATAACCAACTACACCACGAAACCACATTCCTGTTAAATTAAAAAACAACTACACATAGAGACGCCGAACAAGCACGTCTGACTGAATTTACTGCATCACTAGATTGCACGGGCATCCACACTATGGGGTACAAGCACCTTTTTGGAATACCATGATGATGAATGCACAGCCTGGTACATGCATGTCATACCTTGACTGCTTACAGCATCATGGTGTAGTCTACATTGTTGAGACCCACGAAATGGGGTACATGCCACAGCATGGCATACCATGGTTTATGAACACACAGGATAGTGCATACATGCATGAATGCATGTCATACCTTCACCATTTCCAGCTTGATGGTCTTGTCTGGGTTGTGAAGATCCACTTCATGCGGAGCAGGCACCAGCTTGGCTGCAGTGTATCATGAGCACACAGCATGGTGCACACATGCATGCATGCCATACCTTCACCACTTGCAGCATCATGGTATTGTCCGGTTTCCGGAGGTCCACTTTATGCGGAGCGGGCACCAGCTTGGCTACAGTGCCTCTCAAGCCCTTCGTTGGATCGCTTCTCAAATATGATTCCGAACTGTACAGGGAAGAAAATGCATGTAGTGGAATGGATGGTGAGGGAATAAAGAGGATGAACATTGAACCAGGAAATACAAAGTCATTGACCTTTATTGGCTCGCTTTTTCAAAGATGATTCCGAACTGTACAGGGAAGGTACAGCATGTAGTGGGATGCACGGTGAGCCCATAAAGAGGATGAAAACTGAATCCGGAAGGGGAATAATAAGACCTTCGTTGGCTTGCTTTTTAACAACGATTGCAAGCTGTACAGTGAAGAGGAAGCATGTAGTGGGATGCACGATGAGCCTATAAAGAGGATGCAGACTAAAGGCAGGAGGGGCAGGGCAGGGCTATCACTTGTTCACTTCTCAAGACCATTGCAAACCGTTTGCAGCAGACTGCTCATAGCGAGATGAGTTTGACTGTTCTTTGTATAAAGGAAGAGCAGCACGCCCATAAGAAAAAAACCACACAAATCACAAATTAATCAACAAGCATGGCAAACTGCAGATTTGGAAAAGCATGCTGCAGGAGCGGCACACCATAGGATGTGCAGCAAGGCTATCGGGAGAATTTCCTAAATAGACTGTTTTTTCAAAAACTTGTGCAACCCTTATTTTCATAATTTCCTAGTTTTCTCTGGCCCCATGATCATCAAATGCACAGGACACATGAGAACAGCCACCGTAGAGAGACATCTCGGAATCTGTTCACTTTGTACTTAACAGCCTTGGCAGTGACATATCGCGAACCCTACCAAACAACCATCTGCACCCACACGTACCGTTGATCCCTTCGGCTGGACTTCTGACATGTCGATTGATGATTGGGCGATCGGAGGGAAGTGGGCGGCAAGGAGAGGTCGAATGGCCGTGGCAATCTCCTCCTGGGAGGCGTAGCACGTGGTTTCCACTGGCAGCAGGCGGAGGGTGAAGCTGAAAGAGGGGGGTGAAAAGAAGAGAGGGCAAAGGGCATGTTGGAGGGCATGTGTGAAGCAAGGCGGCAGGGGAAGGCCCGATGGCCGAGGAAATCTCCTCCTGGGAGGCGTAGCACGTGGTTTCCATTTCCACTGGGAGCAAGCGGAGGGTTAAACTGGGAGGGGGGAAGGTGGGTGGTAGCGAGGGCGAGGAGGATGGAGAGAGGGGAAGAAGAGCATGGAGGGCATGGGTGAAGCAAGGCGCCAAAGTGAGGCCGGATGGCTGTTGGGATCTCCTACTGGGAGGTGTAACACGCCCTTTTCATTGGCAGCAGACGGAGGGTGAAGCTGTGCCGGCGAAGTAGGGGGGAGAGGGGATTAAGGGGAATGGGGGTGAAAAATATACGGGGGAGACAGGATAGGAGGCTGAATGGCTCTGGAGACGCCGGATGGCCGAGGCGATGTCCTCCTGGGAGGCGTAGCAGGTGGTTTTCATTGGCAGCAGCAGATGGAGGGTGAAGCTGGATAAGAGTGAAGCTGGTTATTAATGAATGATACACCAAAACCAGTCCATATAGGGCGAGGGGGAGCGATGGGGGCTTTAGGTAAGCATTCTTGCGAACAGCAGTGCTTTGCGGGCTCCACACTCGCGTATAGAGACTGCGGGATGAGAAGGGGAGGGAGAACGGTAGGGGCAAGGGGAGAGAAAGGGAGAGCGATGGGAGCGTTTATCAAGCATTTTCACAGACAACAGCGCCTTGCACCCAGACTCCACCACACTCACGAACTGAGGCTGCATGATGTCAAAGGTTAGCGCGGACGGTAGGGGCAACGAGAGGGAGACGGACGATTGGAGGAGTGACGGAGGTTTCCACTTTCCACTGAGCATTGTCACGACAGCAGTGCCCTGTAGTTGATTTTTGAGAATTCTCAAAATCAACCTAAAAAAAAGAGTGAAGCATTCTCACGAACAGCAGTGCATTTTTGAGACGTCTCAAAAAAAAGAGTGAAGCATTCTCACGAACAGCATTGCATTGCAGCCAGACTCCTTCTCGCTAACCGAGGCAAAGGAATGAGATGAGGGAGAAGAGGGGTTGAGAAGAAGAGGGAGTGAGAGGGGGGTGATGGAGGGTGATGGAGGGTGATGGAGGGTTAAACCTTACCTTGCTGTATCACTCGTATATTCAATGAAGGACCAATGAGGAGGGTGATGGAGGTTTCTACTGCGCATTCTCACGAATCAAGGCTGAGAGGCAAATGGAGGGAGAAGCGATTGGAGGGGTGAAGGGGGAGGTGGGAAGACTGGAAAGGAGAGGGGAAATAAAAATAATGAAGGAGGGAGGCGGGAGGGAGGGAGAATTGGAGTGAGAACGGATGTGATAAAACATGAGTGAGTATGAAGTTGAGAGTCTTGTGGGGGATAGGAGCGGATCAAGTGAAAGATGGGTGAGCCAGCAATTGTCTACACTCACGAGGTGACTTTTTTAGTCGACTCAAAAGTCAAAAGTCACTTCTTTTGAGTCAACTCAAAAGTCACTTCTTTTGAGTTGACTCAAAAGAGAAAGATGGGTGAGCCAGCAATTGTCTACACTCACGAGCCGAAAAGCGTTGCAGAGAAGAGGTGAGAAGAGGGTTGGTGGCGGGCAGGGCAGAGAGGGAGGTTGACAGTGACACATTCATTGTTCACCTTCACAAAACAAGAGTATTGATTTCACACCATCAGACTTCCTTCCTTACCTACCAGCCCTTCTCTTCAGCAGCCTCAAACTCATTCAGCAGCTTCAAACTCATTCAGCAGCCTCAAACTCATTCAGCAGCCTCAAACTCATTCAGCAGCCTCAAACTCATTCAGCAGCCTCAAACTCATTCAGCAGCCCCACAACAAACTCATTCAGCAGCCCCACAACAAACTCATTCAGCAGCCTCAAACTCATTCAGCAGCCCCACAACAAACTCATTCAGCAGCCCCACAACAAACTCTTTCAGCAGCCCCACAACAAACTCATTCGGCAGCCCCACAACAAACTCATTCAGCAGCCTCAAACTCATTCAGCAGCCCCACAACAAACTCATTCAGCAGCCCCACAACAAACTCTTTCAGCAGCCCCACAACAAACTCATTCAGCAGCCCCACAACAAACTCATTCAGCAGCCCCACAACAAACTCATTCAGCAGCCCCACAACAAACTCATTCAGCAGCCCCACAACAAACTCATTCAGCAGCCTCAAACTCATTCAGCAGCCCCACAACAAACTCATTCAGCAGCCTCAAACTCATTCAGCAGCCCCACAGCAAACTCATTCAGCAGCCCCACAGCAAACTCATTCAGCAGCCCCACAGCAAACTCATTCAGCAGCCCCACAGCAAACTCATTCAGCAGCCCCATAGCAAACTCATTCAGCAGCCCCACAGCAAACTCATTCAGCAGCCCCACAGCAAACTCATTCAGCAGCCCCACAGCAAACTCATTCAGCAGCCCCACAGCAAACTCATTCAGCAGCCCCACAGCAAACTCATTCAGCAGCCCCACAGCAAACTCATTCAGCAGCCCCACAGCAAACTCATTCAGCAGCCCCACAGCAAACTCATTCAGCAGCCCCACAGCAAACTCATTCAGCAGCCCCACAGCAAACTCATTCAGCAGCCCCACAACAAACTCTTTTTCCGCAACACTCTGCCTCTGCCTTCCCACAATAGCCAGCCTCCTCCTTCCCCACGCCCCGCACACCTCTTTCCTCCTTATCCACACCACACCCCCATTATTCACATCACACTCACCTGTTTCTTGAGTGCTGCCACTTTATTCGCCAGCAGGCCATCAATGGACGACCCCCCCTTCCAATCCCCGCAAATAAACCTTCCCCAGTCCTTGCCCCCCCTTCCCCCTGCACCTTGCTGGCCAGCAGCTTGTCACACCACTGTGTGTGGGGCGAACAGGGGAGGAAGCAACATCAGCTCAGTCAGATAAGCAGCTTGCTGACCTCACCAGCCACCTTCCCCAGTCCTTGCCTCCCCCTCTCCTTCCACCTTGCTGACAAGCATCTTGTTGCACCACTGTGTGTGGGGCGAACAGGGGAGACGGCAGGGTAAGAAGCAAGAAGGAGACGAGGCAATTAGGAGAAGAAGCAACGTCTCAAAGGAAGTTGTTATGGGAGTTTGCTTTGGGTCTATAATATATCTTCCCTCCTCCAGCCAGCATGATGCACAGGTTACGTGTGCACCCAGGTGTGATGTCAACACACTCTGGTGCAGTGAGGCCAACGCACGTCTGCTTCAAATGAGTAGCCAATACCTGGGAAAAACAGGAGATTGAGTGCCTTGCACATGTGTAAAAAAAAAAAAAAAAAAAAACTGACATGCGTACGACTCCCGACTTGATTCACATGATGCACAAACATCAGCTTTCTTCACGCCCCACCTCACCTCCTTGGCGACTCAGCACCTCCTCATCTAGCATGTATTGTTTAAGAGAAACGGAATAACAAAACAAAACACCACCTGGAAACATGAACAAAACACCACCTAGAACCGTGCGTAAGTGTGTGTGTGTGTGTGTGTGTGTGTGTGTGTGTGTGTGTGTGTGTGTGTGTGTGTGTGTGTGTGTGTGTGTGTGTGTGTGTGTGCGCGCGCGCGCGCGCGCGTGCGTGTGTTTTGTTTGTTTGTTTGTCTTTTTTGTTCATTATTATTTATAGTTTTTTTTTTTTTTTTATGAACTGTGCATCTGCTTGAAACAACAGATACAGTCCTTGATACACTGGTTAGAAAAGCTGACAGTGAGCCCTTGACCTTAAACCTGTCCAGCACACATTCACAATCATTCAGGTTCTATCATTTGCCTGTGCGCCTCACCTCACCTCCTGTGCACCTCACCTCACCTCCTGTGCGCCTCACCTCTCCTCCTTGCCGCCTCACCTCACCTCCTTGCTGCCTCACCTCACCTCCTGTGCGCCTCACCTCACCTCCTGTGCGCCTCACCTCATCTAGGACGTTCGCGATCACTCGCCCGCACTCCCTCTCCCTGCCAGTCACACACCTTTAACCTCTTACCCTCCCCCCCACCCCCCCCTCCCCTCCTCCCCCCCTCACTGTGTGCTCGTGCCTCACCTCATCTAGCACGTTCACGATCTTCCGCCCGCACTCTCTCTCCCTGCCGATCACACTCGACACCAGCCACGAGCAGTAGGGGGGGAGCAGATGGGGGAGGAGGAGAGTGGCAGACGTGGGACGAGCGAATGGGGAGGAGCAGAAGGGAGAAACGATTTTCAATTCACCTGCCCTCCCTCGCTCTGCCAGTCTCCCTGCTGCCATTAACTATGGCCCCAGCTCGCCCCCCAGCACATTGATTTTGCACCCGGAACACGACAGCAGTCATGACCGCAGTACGTGCACCCAGGGTTCACCTGTGGCAGATGCCAGACTCCCTGCTGCCATTCACTATGGCCCCAGCTCGCCCCCCAGCTCTGGGTCAACAGGGCGGGCACATGAAGTGTGTATTTTTGAGACGTCTCAAAAATACTCTCCCTGCTGCCATTCACTATGGCCCCAGCTCGCCACCCGGCTCTGGGTCAAATGGGCGGGCATGCGAGGAGGAGCAGAATGGGAGGAGGAAAGGGAGAAACATTATTTTGTTTAAATATAGACATATATTTTAGAATTGACCTGCCTGCCTGCCACTAGGGAGAGCGAGAAAACAACGAGAAGTTACGGGTTTTGGGTGCATGGAAAATGGAGATACGCGGGCGAGGCTGCTGGAGGAAAGAGAGGGAAAACTGGAGAAGGGAGGCAGCCTAGGCCGCACTTGTGAGGACTGGAGAAGGGAGGCGACACGGGGAACACAGGATGAGAGGAGGAGGCGAGAGTGAGGGAGGGCAGATGGAGGTGTGCGTGGGAAGGGGGGAAGCGGGGGGGAAGGGGGGAAGGGGAAGGGGAAAGGGGGAAGTGGGGCGGATCGGACTCGTGCGCGCTCGCCGCCGAGCTCATAGCAGCGACGCGGAACGGATGCTGCCGTGACTCGCGACTGCTACGCGACTGAAACGCGCCTAAAAAATCGTCGCTTATTAACTCTCAGTCACAGTATGCATCGTTACACGCCTGGCGGGTTTTGGTTACTAATGCGTCGCGACATAATTCTAAAGACTCACAGCGTTCAGGTATCGCGACTTGTGGCGCTTCGATTTGCCCTAACCTCCATTACCGCTCCGATTGCCCTCTGCCTCGCGCTTTCCACGACCCATGTGCGATTCTATGCTGGCTATCGAACATATAAGCAAATGCTGAGTGGCACGATGAATTGCAGACAAAAACTACCACCGTCAGCCCCCGGATAGAAGCGCCCCTGGGGGTATAAAAAAACACTGTTTTTTAGGGGGTGCGCTTATAATCGAGGAATTTTATAAGCGCTGGCGTTTATAAAATGGCAAAAAGAATTTCGATCTGTTTTACACCAAACTGTAGATCTCGTTCTGCCGATTGTAATCGAGTCGAAAACATATAGGGTCGCGAATCTGATTCTCGTGCAGCTTGGCAGGGAGTGATTCCCTGCCAACTCAAACTGACAGAATGACAGCACATGCTGACTAGACGCGCAAAAAGTGAGATCAGAGTGTGGGAAATCGAATTTGTAGTTCGTTTCCCTGATAATGTGAAATTTGTTTCTGTATTTCGTCAGGTTTTCAAATGAAAAACCAACATGCGCTTATAATAAATCATATTTTTTTAGGGGATGGGCTTATAATGGAGGACCGGGTATAAGCGCCGTCATCCTTTTATAAGCGCCGGCGCTTATCCGAGGCCTGCGCTTCTATCCAGGGGCTTACGGTATTATTATATGTTAAAATGATTTAAGATTGCAGGACCAGTAGCACAATCATCTAATCAACCAGCCTGATTGTGGGTTCAACACCCACCTAGTCATTTTCTTGTCATAATGTTATATTGCTTACTTTGTGTAGGCTATAGTGGGGTAGCCCATAAGGGGTACTGTTGGGCTGAGAAGGCCCTTAGGATCTTTGCAGGACAGAATTCAAGAGTAGGATGATGTAGTAGCGGAAGCGTTTAATCAAGACTTGTTGAACCACCTTGTACTGGTTTGTGAGAACAAAGTAAGTTGATTAAACAAAAGAGATACAAGCTTTTATAAGAATACAAAGGAATATGAAGAGATACAGTTAATAACTGTTTTACTGTTGCTGTTGCGGTTCGATACAGTGTCGACTCGGGCAACTGCTCAGTATCGAGACAGTTGTTTGTCCTTGCTGTCGCGCTGCATTTGTCAGGTCAAAGGTCGCTGACCTTTGACTTTCGCGTAACCTCCAGCAGTTGTTCAACCTCCGAGGGTTGACTCACCTTTGTTTCGATACGATCCGCTTCGCTTCTGTCTTGGTGTTTCGACACGACAGAGGCGTTTTAAATCAGTTGTTTCCAACACTCCCCTTCGCTTCTGGAGTGTCGCTGCAGGTGACGTGGCTCTGTCCAGTCAGCAGCATGCAATATTCGAACTTCGACTTTCCGAGCTTCTTGGTCAAGTAATCAGCTGCCATCTCGGATGTGGGGCAGTAAGACAGCTCAAGTCTCCCCTTCTCGATCTCGTCCTTTACGAAGAAATATCGCAGGGCGATATGCTTCGTTCTGTTCGCGAATCCATTTTTGTTGGCTATGCGAATTGCCGACTGGTTGTCGCAGAATACGGAGAAGCTGGGTAACTGGGCCAGCTTCGCTTCCTCCAGAAGTTCGCGAAGGTACAGTCCTTCCTTGGTGGCTGAGCAGAGTGCGATATATTCAGCTTCAGCCGAGGAGAGGGCGATTAATTCCTGTTTGCTCGACTGCCACGAAATAGGTCCGATAGGCTCGAGGCGGTAGATGTAGCCTATGCGCGAGCGCCTGTTGTCAGGATCTCCGGCGTGGTCGGCGTCGACGTAGCCGATTAGCTTGGGCGTTGTAGTTATGTTCTTGTGGTAGATCAGGCCGATCGTCGGAGTGCTTACGAGGTAGTGTAGAGCGCGATCGAGCTCCTTCATGTGTTCGTCTTCAGGCCTTTTGAGGTAGGTGGCGATTTGACTTGCTGAGTATGATAGGTCTGGACGGCAGGTGACGGCCGCGAAGAGAAGGCATCCCAGCTTTCTCTGGTAGTTGCGTATGCCGGCGGGTTTCAGTGGAGCAGATTCTGCCTTGTCATTTCCTGCCGTGTAGCGGTGTGGCGTAGAGATGGTAGTTGGCGTGAATGCGAATCGTTTGGCGATGGTGTCGGCATATTTTGCGGCGTTGAGATAGATCGCGCCTTCTTCTTCTTGGATGTTGAGGCCGAGGTACTGCGTGACGGTAGATGAAACCGTGAGCGTAAGATCTCTCTGTAACTCCCCTTCGAACCAGGTAGTGACATTGTCGGTTGATCCGATGTAAAGCAGATCGTCTACGTAGACGATTAGTAGAATGTAGTCGTCGCCTTTCGTGAGCCGGTACATTCCTTGGTCGTGCGGTAGCTGCCGGAATCCGACGCGAGTGAGTCGAGCGTGTAAGTACTGCTGCCATAGTCTCGGGGCCTGTTTGATCCCGTACAGGGACTTCAGTAGCTGGCAGACTTGGTTGGGTTCTCCATGGGAACCGTGTGGGAGTTCGACGAAGATTTCTGCGTCGACAGGTGCGTAGAGAAAAGCATTGGCGAAGTCAATTTGCCGCAGCTTCTTTTTCTTCATAGCGGCGATCGCGAGAAGAATCCGTAGTGAGGTGTGTCGACTAACCAGTGCGAATGTCTCGGTGAAATCGCGTCCATGCTCTTGGTCGAAGCCGCGTACGACCCAGCGTGCCTTGAATTTGTCGATGGTGCCATCTGCTTTCGTCTTCACACGGAAGACCCACTTCCCGGTGAGTATTGTCTTGTTTCGTGCCACGCTGATAGGAACAACTTTCCAGGTGTTGCGCTCCTGTAGTGCTTTCAGTTCCTTGTCCATGGCTTCACGCCATTTTTCCCTATGCTCCCCCCCCAGAGCCTGCTGAACTGTGGCAGGCTCCTTAGGAGTATCCGTGCCGTGGACTGCGGTGACGAGACCAAGTATCTGAAGGCCACTCTGTGTGTAGCGGAGGAGTGTTGTGTCCGCGGGATAAGCTGCTTCGTCGCCTGTTTCTGGGTCTGGTATGAAGTTGAGCCCTATGCGTTCTGCTTCGTTGGTGTTGACTTCTGCAGGTGTAACGTAACCAATGTCGGCGAGGTCGAAATAAGTTTCGGCGTTGACGCTTTCGCGAGGATTTTCGTCATCCATTGGGATAGGCACGGAGCAGTAAGGGAGTGGTCCTGCTTCTTCCGAGGCGTTATCTACGTTCTGCTCGTCCCAGTCAGCTTCGTCTGCTGCCGAGGCAAAGTGTCGGTCACCATGGAAGCCACCTGTGGGATCCCGATTTTCTTCCAGGTTGGCAAGGTATGTCGGAAGGGTGAGTCGTTCGTAGAAAATGACATCACGTGCTGCTACTGTTTCTTTGGAGTGGACGTCGAAAATCTTCCACGCGTTGTAATTTCTTTCGATGCCCAGGTGTAGTCCCCACTGTGCTCGTTGGGAAAATCGGCCGGCTCGTGCAGATGGGGGTCGGTACTGTACCATGCAACCGAAAACGCTTAACATTTTTGTGCTGCCCTGTTTTCCTGTCCACAGCAGGTGCGGTGATGCGTTGTTCGGTAGTGACGACGACGAAAGCAAGTTGTGCAGCATGACAGCGTGGTCCATCGCTTCAGGCCACTGGTGATTGGGCAGTCGCATGCCACGCAGTAATTTGCGCATGGTGTTCTGGAGAGTTCGGTTCATCCGTTCCGCCACGCCTTGCTGTTGATGGGCGTAAGGAAGCGAGATGAGCCTCTTGATTCCCTTTTCTGCCAAGAACTGCTTGAACCTCTGTGAGGTGTATTCTCCTCCTCCGTCTGACTGAAAGCTTTTCAGTTTCTCGCCTGATTCTCGTTCTGCTACTGGGAGCCAAGCGATGAAGGCTTCGAAGGCCATGTCCTTGCTCGGAAGATTGAGGTGCCAAACATAACGTGTAGCTGCATCGATGAACGTGATGGTATAACTGTATGCTCCTTGTCCGGGTTCGCGATTGTACAGGATGTCGCTGTACACCTTTTCAAGTGGTGCGTAAGCGGGTGCGCTGGGGTTGTGGTGAGAAGTGAAAGGTCGGTGCGGTAAGTCGGCTTCGGGGCAGGTAAAACACGTGCCTCGCGCTCGTCGAAGTTCACTTCCGTTGGTTAGAAGCAGTGAATCTTTGTCGAGAACTCCTGCTCTGATTGTGTTGTTTAACACCGTATTACTTGGATGTCCCATTCGTGCGTGCCAGATGTCTTCGCTAGCACGATGTCTGGGTGAACGACGATACAGGTCGGAGTTGGAGTAAAAGGCGGTGGTGAAGTTGGCGCTTCTGTGAACTTCGCGAGGAGTGGGAGTTAGCTGCTGCGCAGGAGTCGGTGAAGTATTGTCGATGTGTGGCAATGTCGTTGAAGAACTCGCGACTGGTGTTGTAAGTGTTGTTGGTGTTGCCGATGTTTCTTCTGCTTCCAATGTTGTTTCTGCTGCTGCCGAGTGTTGAATCGTTGCTAATGCTCTTGTTCGTTCTGCTTTAGGGATGGTGTGCGAGTACCAGAAGCCTTCTGGACTGAAGTCGGGGTCAAGATCCGGTGGATGTGTCCAAGAAGTAAAGGTGACAATCCCGTCGCTGTCAGCAGTGCCGAGATCTGGGACGAAGTCGAGGACGAAGACGTTGTTTTTCAGGACCGCCTTGCCGATGTAAAGTCCTCCTCGACCGTGGAAGAGCTTGAACTCCTGTGTGGTGCTGTCTGCTTCAAGATGGATCCCCTTCGCCATTAGTTGGCTGACGCTTAGTAAGTTGTAGCCAAGTCCCTCTGCTATTAAAACCTTTGACATTTGCAGTATGACGTTTGTCTCTCGTGACTGAAGTTGCACTACGCCTTGTCGTTGTGTGCGCAGGTTCTGATTGTTGGCGAC